CCCCGTGTCCCCCCCACCCCGGTCCCCAGCCGAGCCCCCCGGGCCATCCTGGCTCACCCAGCTTTGCCGCCCGCTTCCATGTGGTTGGCGAGGGTCACGTCGTTGGACCAGACGTCGAACTGCCACTTGCGCAGCCCCAGGACGCCGCAGTGCACGCGCCCGCTGTGGATGCCCACGCGCATGTTCACGTTCACCCCCGTCACCTCACGCACCAGCCTGCAGACGGCACGGGCACCGCGTCACCCCAAAGCACCACATCCCCCCAAGGCACCGCATCCCAGGCCGGCAAGCACCGGGGACGGGCACGGCCCCACTGAAGTTGCAGTGGCACTGGGGACACGCCGGCACCAGCGTTGGGCACAGCCCCTCGGGGTTGAGGTGGCACCAGGGATGTGCCACCACTGGGGAGGAGGTGACAACAGGGATGTGCCACCACCGGGGAGGAGAGTGACCCCCGTGCTCTGCCCCACTCACGAGATGGCCTCAATCATGTCCACCCCCATCTCCACGCAGCAGTGCGCGTGGTCCCCGCGCGCCTCCGGCAGCCCCGACACGCAGTAGTAGCAGTCCCCCAGGATCTTGATGCGCAGGCAGTGGTTCTCCTGGGGAGAACAGGTAGGTCGGGGGGGGGTCCACAACTCGCCCCCACCACTCACTGCCGCCAGCTTGTCAAAGCGAGCGAAGAGCTCGTTAAGAGTCATCACCAGCTCTTGGGCCGTGCACTGCGAAGCCAGGCTGGTGAAGCCCTCGATGTCTGCGAAGAGGATGCTGCCGGGAGGAAGAGCGTGGGCTGGGGAGGGACCAACCACGGGCCACCCCGGACCCTCTCAGCTGGTGACAGCTCCCCCCAAGACTTCACCCACCGCCCAGCTCACGCCCCCGGCCCCGTGTTACCTGACATTGTCGTGCTTCTGGATATAGATCTTGTGGAACATCATATCCTCCTTCTTGGTGTTGATGTCCTCCTTCATCTCCATGGCCACATGCTGGGGCAGCACTGAGAGCAGCAGGCGCTCCTAAACCCAGCACCACCCCATTAGCAGGGGACCACCACCCCACCAGACCCCCCCAGCCTGGCACAGGAGACGCCGGGACCCCCGGGGACCCCCAGCTCACCTGCTGGCGGTTCTCACGCTGGAGGTGCAGGCGTGCCTGGATGTAGCCACGGGTCTCCTGGAAGGCCTGGCGCTGCGACACCTCAGCTGGGTAGTGGGTGCAGACCCCCACCACGTTGGTGCAGAGGAAGATGAGGGCGTTGGCGCTGAGCTGGCGGGGGAGGTGGACTCAGTGCGGACCCCTGGCCCCACGGTGAGGCCTGGCCAGCTCTGCCACTCTCCTCCGCACCCCAAAACCCTGGCTCGGGGATGGGGGGACGGGTGCTGTCAAGAGGGCTGCAAGGAGGGGACGTGGGGCAGGGACACACGGGCACCTGGGGACCCAGGGCAGGGGAAGGTGGGGAAGCGGGGGCCTGGGGACACAGGGGACCAGGATGAGGGGGGTGTGGGGCACAGAGGGATATGGGAAACCAGGGCAAGGGGTTGCGGTGACATGGGAGGCCTGGAGACCCGGGACAGAGGGACACGGGGCACTCGAAGCTGCAGGAAACCAGGGCATGGGGCATGAAGGGACCAAGAGACCCAGGGCAGGGTGAACAGGGGGGGACGTGGGGACCCAGTGTGGGGGGGACACAGGGACCTGGGGACGTCAGGAACCAGGGCAGGGGGGATCTGGGGATCCAGGGCCAGGGGGATACGAGGACACAGGGACCCAGGGCAGGGGGGAAGCAGCAGGCCCTTGACAAGCGGAGGAAGCCCAGGGAGGGCCGGGAAACGGCGACGGCTGCAGCAGGAGGGCTGCGGTCTCCCCCCTCCCCGTCCCTGTCCCCCGGGACTGGGGCCAGGGTTATTTATAGTGCCCTGGCGGGCTGGGAGCGGGGTCCTGGCACCCAGCGCCTCCCCAGCCATGGGCCGCAGCCCCATCGCTCCCACCCTGCAGGGTGGGCACCGCTCGGGGGGGTGGGGGGGG